AGGCGGCTTTAACCTTGGCCAAATAGATTGGACTGACCATACGGGCAACTCAGAATCAGAGGATTTTCTCGAGACGATCCAGGACTGTTTCCTAAGTCAACATATAACCGAACCCACACGGGGTAATAATATACTGGATTTAGTTCTGTCGAACAGAGAAAACCTCATTAGCAATGCCGAGGTAGGGAACGAACTTGCAAACAGCGATCACAAAGAAATTCGATTCCAGTTAGATTTTCAGGGCAGACGTAAGGAAAATTCCACTAAAGTACCAGATTTCAGAAGGGCAAACTTTGACAGTTTAAAGAGGCAGCTGAGAGAGGGGGTGTCGCGCTTGGCCATGAACCTGACAGATGACATCGACCTGATAACGAGATCTGAGATTGCTTTGTGCTTCCACGATACAATTTAAATAGTGTTATTAATGCATGCTGAGGAACAGGCTCATACAAAAAAAATTCAGATCAGACAACAACGACCCTAAATGGATAAATAATTACGAAGAACATCATTGGCTAAAGGAATATTATAGGTAGAAGGATAACCGTATGAAATTCACCCAGGACTATTATAGGGTATTATGAGTAGGGTTAAAAACCGAGATAAGGAAAAAGAGGAATAATGAGTAAGGAGAAAAGGGAGGCGAACGACAAACCCAAAGGATTCAAAATGTATCAAACTAAAACACGAGAAAAGATTTGACCAATACTGTCAGACTCCGGCGAGCTCACTGATAACGACGGAGAAATGAGCAATAATTTGAATAAATATTTTTCAACAGTTTTCACCACCGAAAATTTAAACATGATACCCGAGGCACCGACTCTATTCAGAGATAGTGAAGAAAACAAATTAAGTGAGATAGTAGCGACTAGTAACGATGTTAGTAAGCAAATAGACAAACTAAAGCCTAATAAGTCACCTGGTCCTGATGAGATATTTGCCAGAGTATTAAAGGAATGTAAGGAAGAGCTTAGTATGCCCTTAGCAAAGTTGTTTAACATATCCTTAAAAACAGAATCCTGGAGGATAGCGAATGTAATACCAATTTTCAAGAAGGGGGATAGATCACTATCCTCTAACTACCGCCCAATCAGTCTAACATCAATAGTAGGCAAATTACTGGAAGCAATCATTTCAAACTCTATTCGAAATAACCTGGAGAAGCCTGATTGATCAATGATTCCAGCAGGCTTGACAAGCGGACGTTCTTGGCCTAACTAATCTATTAACATTCTTTTTCACTGCTTTCAATGGGGTGACGAGGGCCAATTATGATGTGGTATATCTCGATTTTAGTAAAGCTTTCGACAGAGTCCCTACGTAAAGACTAATTAGAAAGGTAGAATCTCATGGCATCAAGGTGACATCTCAATGATTAGGCGTGGTTACAGGACAGGAAACATGAAAACATTAACGCACTAGTCCCATTGGAAAGCAATCGTCATAAGTGGAGTTCAAGGCTCAGTGTTATAAAGTACGTGCCATAATTTGGACCATTATTATTTATTGTATACATAAACGACATAGATATCGGCATTGACAGCAACATAAGTAAATTTGCTGATGACACTAAAATAGGACGTGTTATCAAATCTGACGAGGACTCGGCAAAACTACAGGAAGATCTAAACAAATTTTTCGAATGGTCTGAAAAATGGCAGATGAAATTCAACGTCGACAAATGTAAAGTACTCAGTATAGGAGATGTAAACAGGGAAACCAGATACCAGATGAACAATGATGCCATAGATAAATCCGACTGCGAGAGAGATTTAGGAGTAATGATAAGAATCCCTGCTGCTAAACAATGTGTTTTTTTGCTCAGAATAAGGCTATTGCACGGTTCATACAAAGGAGAAAGTATTACAGACTAGCGAAATATCCTAAACTGTATTCTTGTTTCAGAGACCACCTGATTACGCAGTCTAGTTCTGTCACCGTATTACAGAATGGATATAGAATCATTGGAAAGAATCCAGAGGAGAATGACAAGACTAATCCTGGGCATTAGGAACCTTGAATACAGAGACAGGTTAAAACATCTTAATTTGCACTCCCTCGAGAGACGTAGAGTGAGGGGCGAAATGATTGAGGTGTATAAATGGAAGTCAGGGTTAAACAAAGGGGACATTACAAAGGTACTCAAACTATCCAACCAGGAGCTAACTCGTAACAATAGTTTTGGGTGACCAGACAACTTAGATTTAGGGCGAAATAGGTAAACACTGGTTTGGAAACAGAGTAGTGGATGAATGGAACAAGTTACCAAATATCATCATTAACTCGAATACGCTGAATTGCTTCAAACATAGGTTGGATGCTCATATGAGCAATCGGGGTTGGGTGTAAACGGGACTGCCCAGTATGGGCCAATAGGCCTGCTGCAGTTTCCTCCATTCTTATGTTCTTATGTTCTTATGATATTCCATGCAGCGACCATAAGAGGTTGTTTAGTTTGTTTTTGCTTTAGGACTTGATTATAATCATAATTATGATTATGTATTCGACCTTAATGGGTGCAGTTGCCCAGTCAGATTGGTTCTTTAGGCAGGCTATGTTTAGGGCACCTTCTTTAGCCAGCTCCCCATGTGGGGTGAGCAGAGTGACTCCTGGTAAGGGCTGCTCAGTCGCACAGACAGGATCACATTGCACTGCTGCCTAAATCCCAGTGTACAAACGACCATCTTATCTATGCCGCCCCTGTGTAGATTTGTTATTGGAGACTCCCGGCAGTCATATCTGCCTGTTCCCGTCGCCACTGGCCTGTCACCAGAGGACTTTTGGGGGGATAGGTGTTTGATGATGATGAGAAGAAGTATGACGAACTGGATGATGGCTGTGCGTGAGTTGATTTATGTGGCGAGGCAGGAGCGCAGGCTGAAGCCACACATCTTGACTTTCCCGTTTCCTGATCCAGTGGCGCAAGTAGTGGCAACGACTGGGGAGAGGGAGAGTTGCAATGGACTGCCGATAGCCCAGTTTGTTGGGTTTCACCTGAGTAGCCTGTCCATCATGCATTACCTTCATCCGCAGATGTAGTCGTTGGGTTTCCATGGTGGTTACCTCTCCCGCCTATACTGCCGTTAGGGTCTGACTGGAACTCTGTAAGCATGTCTGCCTGATGCGGGGCTCCACTGCAGATTTTTCGTTGCCTCATACCTCCCAAAGTTAATTTGCAAGTCAGCAGGGCAGTGGTTGGAAGGCGCCAGGACGTGTCCACATGCCAGTGGGCTTATGCGCCGTCCCTCTGGGGCCCACTGCTGTTCCGAGATCCCCTGCTGGTCTAGCTTGGGCCCACGAGGCACTCAGTTACCGTGTGTTGCCACGAGGAGGCACAGCAGGAGTCTTGTTGGTGAAGAGGCTGTGTACTGGCAGGGGAAGACATACGCATGGTTACTTCGCTATTCACCACGAGGGTTAGACAGCGACGGTAGCTGAAAGCACGCTCACACACACACACCCATACATACACACACTGACTAACGTGACTCTTCTTGACGCTCTGCATGAACGGAAATGAGTCAATTTAACTCTACAGTCAAATGGCTCTAATGACTCGGATCGACTCGTTAGGTGTAAACGCAACCTTACCCTTTGTAAACACTTAGCCCGTATAATGTAATATAAGGTATGCTCCCATAACTAGCCCTGATACTTTAAGAAACTACTGCATGAACCACCCACAGCTAGGGATTACATTGTGTGATTACCTACAGCAGTGGTTCCCAAACTGGGGGCCATGGCCCCCCAGCAAAATTTAGGGGGCCATAAGCTGAGGCTATGTACACATAAAAATCCCAAGCCCCACCACACTAGAACAGCCAGTCAGCAGCTGAGCCAGCCAGAGATATGGATTGGGAGAGGGGGGCCATGGATAAGGATCATATATGAAAAGTGGGTAATGATCAGAAAAAGTTTGGGAACCACTGACCTACAGTAACAATCCACAGGTAATCCCTATGTATATGCATACATCCATAGTCAGCCATTATATTGTATATGACCACACAGTCAGCCATTACATTGTATATAATCGCACAGTCAGCCATTATATTGTATATAACCACACAGTCAGCCATTATATTGTATATAACTCCACAGTCAGCCATTATATTGTATATAACCATACAGTCAGCCATTATATTGTTTATAACCACATAGTCAGCCACTATATTGTATATAACCACACAGTCAGCCATTATATTGTATATAACCACACAAGTCAGCCATTATATTGTATATAACTACACAGCCAGCCATTATATTGTATAACCTACACACGGGTAGCCATTATAATGTATATAACCACAGATCAGCCATTATATTGTATATAACCACACAGTCTGTCATTATATTGTATTTGTACTTTTTCAAGCGTATAGTCATTGGAGTGTGTGTGTACTAGTATAGGGTGTGAGATGGTGTAGCCTATGTGTTAATTCTGTTCTATATACATTTCAAGTATTTTCTGTATTGAGACCATAAACATCAACAAAATCAAACAGTATGTGACCGACCGATGGCATACAGTAAATGGCGACGAGGATATGCATACATCTATTCACAACATGGCCACTACTGTACCAACACTACAACCTCTAGAGTTAGAGACTGACCAAACACAAGCATGGATTGACTGGATAGAGCATGCTGAAGATGCCTTCATTGCATTCAACATAACTGAAGATGCCAAAAGAATAGCACTCATCAGATTCTATGGAGGAAAGAAACTGAAGAAATCATGAAGACATTACGTCCAGCGATACCGACAGACCAAAACAGAGCCAACGTACAAAACAATGAGAGGCATCTTGATGAATACTTTAGTGAGAAAACAAACGAAGTATTTGAATGACATAAGTTCGGATGCTGGCGTAGAGGTCGGGAAATATACACAACTACGTAACCCCACCTACATTACACAAGGGCCAGTGCAACTTCGACCATCTTAATATAAGCATCATCGACCACTTGACGGAGAAATGTACTTCACATAAATGCGTCGTGCATACCTGAAGGAAACAGACATAACAGTACAGAAGACTCTACAAATCGCTTACACTTATGAATCAACTGAAGCCCAAGCTTGCCAGGTGGAGCAAGGTGAAGAAGCACCAATTAAGAACAAGGTAAACACGAGATACAAACAACAACAGCAGCGGCAATGTTGGTTGGAAGGTGAAGAAAACTCCAATGTGAACAAGGTAAACACGAGACACAAACAACAACAGCAGCAGCTTGTGTTGGTTGGGTGGCGAGCACTAGTAAGCTTACATTAGTTTTAGCTGATCTTCCTCCTATGACACCTACTGGGGATGGGACCTCTCAGGGGGCCACTCGTAAACTATAACAATTGTTTATTTATATTTTTTGCTTTCTTGCTCCTGTATTATTTTTCTCAGTCGCGCTCTTTTTTTAATCATGTTTGTGAAGTTTTGTATTTGATATTTTCAGCGTCTGTGCGTTGGTAACTTTAACAGTGCTAGGTGAATGACAGTTTCCAAAATTGGTTCATTTTATTCCTCTGTAACTCCAAGTCAAGAGGCTGTATAATAATGGTTTTGTTTTAATGTTAAAATAATATCAGTATTGGTGGCAGGTCTTCAAGTGACTGGGGACTGAAGCTCTTCGGAGATAAGACGCGTGTTCGTCTTTGATCTAACATGTACAATATAGTTAATGCCTTGCTGCTTGCCCCGTTGTTTACATTTTTCATCGTGGTTGCCAGTTATAGGTGAATAATTTTCCCTTGTCGCGTGGCGGACTCGGATCTGGAAAAGTCTGTAGTCAAGGAGGTTAATCTATGGGTGAACTCTTAATATGTGTCAAGAGTAACCTGTCCGGGAATCCAAAATGCGTCGCCAGAAACTCATCGCCATCCATGTGCCCTGAGGTGTAAAGAGTGTGCACGATGGCTTACCGTCGACGGAGTCCTTGATCTACTGAGAGTGTGTCATTTCTTGTTATAACTTAGGATACCTGTGTTACCTCCTCTAGTGTACCTGTTTCACCTCCTAGTATATGTGTCCCCTCCTAGTATACCTGTGTCACCACCAAGTATACCTGGGTCACCACTTTGTGGAACTGTATCACCACCTAGTATACCTGTCACCTAGTATACTTGTCCCCTCACCTAGTATACTTGTCCTTTCACCTAGTATACTTGTCCCTCACCTAGTATACTTGTCCCCTCACCTAGTATACTTGTCCCCTTATCTAGTATACCTGTGTCTCCTCCTCTAGTATGCCTGTCCCCCCCTAGTATACCTGTCCCTCCCTAGTATACCTGTCCCCCTAATATACCTGTCCCCCCCTCTAGTATACCTGTGTCCCCTCCTCTAGTATACCTGTGTCCCCTCCTCTAGTATACCTGTGTCCCCTCCTCTAGTATACCTGTGTCCCCCTTCTAGTATACCTGTTTCCCTCCTCTAGTATACCTGTGTCCCCCCCTCTAGTATACCTGTGTACCCCCCTCTAGTATACCAGTGTCCCCTCCTCTAGTGTACCTGTGTCCCCCCAGTATACCTGTGTCCCCCATCTATATACATGTGTCCCCCCAGTGCCACCCAGTCCTCCAGTATACCTGTCCCCCCTCTAGCATACCCAGTCCTCTAGTGGCACCTGTGTCCCTCATCTAGTATACATGTGTCCCCCTCTAGTATACCTCAGCCTCTCCTAGTATACCAGTGTCCTCTCTAGTCCTCCCTCATGTGTCCCCCCTCTAGTTACCTGTGTCCCTCCTCCAGTATACCTGTGTCCCCTCCTCTAGTATGGTGTCCCCTCCTCTAGTATACCTGTGTCCCCCCCTCTAGTACCTGTGTCCCTCCTCTGTATACTGTGTCCTCCTCTAGTATACCTGTGTCCCCCCTCCTAGTATACCTGTGTCCCCCCCTCTAGTATACCTGTGTCCCCTCCTCCTAGTATACCTGTGTCCCTCCTCTAGTATACCTGTGTTCTAGTATACCTGTGTCCCCTCCTCTAGTATGCCTGTGTCCCTCCTCTAGTATACCTGTGTCCCCCCTCCTAGTATACCTGTGTCCCCCTCTAGTATACCTGTTTCACCTCCAGTATACCTGTGTCCCTCCTCTAGTATACCTGTCCAGTATGCCTCCCCCTCTGTATACCTGTGTTCCTCTAGTATACCTGTCCCTCCTCTGTATACCTGTGTCCTCCTCTAGTACCTTGTCCCCCCCCTCAGTATACCTGTGTTTCTGGTATACCTGTGTCCCCCTCTAGTATACCCTGTTCCTCTCTGTATACCTGTCCCTCCTCCTGGTATACTGTGTCCCCCCTCTAGTATACCTGTGTCCCCTCCTCTAGTATACCTGTGTCCCCCCCTCTAGTATACCTGTGTCCCCCCCTCTGTATACCTGTGTCCCCCTCTAGTATCCATGTGTACCCTCTGTGTCCCCCTCTCCAGTATATGTGTCCCCTCATCTGGTATACCTGTGTCCCTCCTCTAGTATACCTGTCCCTCCTCTAGTACCGCCCCTCTGTTACCTTGTCCCCTCCTCAGTATACCTGTGTCCCCCTCTCTAGTATACCTGTGTCCCCTCCTCTAGTATACCTGTGTCTCCCCCTCTAGTATACCTGTGTCCCCTCCTCTAGTATACCTGTGTCCCCCTCTGGTATACCTGTGCCCCTCCTCTGTATACCTGTCCCCTCTAGTATACCTGTTCCCCTCCTCTAGTTACCTGTGTCCCCCTCTAGTATACCTGTGTCCCCCCTCTGTAGTATACCTGTGTCCCCTCCTCTGGTATGCCTCTCTGTATGCATGTCCTCCTCTGAGTATGCCTGTGTCTCCTCTAGTATACCTGTGTCCTCCTCTGTTGCCATGCTCCTCTAGTATACTGTGCACTCCTCTAGTATACCTGTGTCCCTCCTCTAGTATGCCTGTGTCCTCCTCTAGTATACCTGTGTCCTCCTCTAGTAGTACCTGTGTCCCCTCTCTGTATACCTGTGTCCTCCTCTAGTACCTGTGTCCCCCCTCTGTATACCTGTGTCCCCTCTGCATACCTGTGTCCTCTGTCCCTCCTAGTATACCTGTGTCCCCCCTCCCTCGTATACCTGTGTCCCTCCTCTAGTATACCTGTGTCCCTCCTCCTCTAGTATGCCTGTGTCCCCTCCTCTAGTATGCCTGTCCTCTAGTATCTGTCCCTCTCCTGTGCCTGTGTCACCTCTCTAGTATCCTGTGTCCCCTCTGCTCCTCTAGTACATACTGTGTCCCCCCTCTGGTATCTGTGTCCTCTCTAGTATCTGTGTCCCCCTCCTAGTATACCTGTGTCCCTCTAGTTACCTGTGTCCCCCCTCTAGTATACCTGTGCCTCTTAGTATACCTGTGTCCCCTCCTCTAGTATACCTGTGTCCCCCCTCCTGTATACCTGTGTCCCTCCTCTAGCTATGCCTCTAGTATACCTGTGTCCCCCCTCTATATACCTGTGTCCCCCTCTAGTATACTGTGTACCTCTCTCCTAGTATACCTGTCCCCTCCTCTAGTACCTGTGTCTCCCCCTCCTCTAGTATACACCCCCTCTGTGCCTGTCCCTCCTCTAGTCCTGTGTCCCCCCCTCTAGTATACCTGTCCCCCTCTGAGTATGCCTGTGTCCCCTCTGGTATGCCTGTCCCTCCTCTAGTATACTGTGTCCTCCTCCTGGTATACCTGTGTCCTCTCTAGTACCTGTGTCTCCTCTAGTATACCTGTGTCCCCCTCTCTCTCTAGTATACCTGTTCCCTCCTCTGTTACCTGTGTCCTCCTCTAGTATACCTGTGTCCCTCTCTAGTATACCTGTGTCCCTCTCCCTCCTCTAGTATACCTGTGTCCCCTCTCCTAGTATACCTGTGTCCCCCCTCTAGTATACCTGTGTCCCCCTCTAGTATGCCTGTGTCCCTCTCTGAACCTTGTCCCCCCTCCTAGTATGCTGTGTCCCCCCCTCCTGGTATACTGTGTCCCCCCTCTGGTATACCTGTAATCTACTCTAGTACCTGTGTCCCCCCTCTCTAGTATGCATGCCCTCTCTAGTATCCGTGTCCTCCTCTAGTATGCCTGTGTCCCCCTCTGGTATACCTGTGTCCCTCCTCCCTAGGTTACCGTCCCCCTAGCATCCTGTGTCCCTCCTAGTATCTGTGTCCCCCCTCCTGAAGCATACCTGTGTCCCCCCTCTGTATGCCTGTGTCCCCCCCCTCTAGTATACCTGTGTTCCCTCCTCTAGTATACCTGTGTCCCCCCCTCCCTAGTATACCAGTGTCCCCCCTCTAGTATACCTGTGTCCCCCCCCTCTAGCATACCTGTCCCTCCTCTAGTATACCTGTTATATTGTCCCCTCCTCTAGTATACCTGTGTCCCCTCCTCTAGTATACCTGTCCCCTCCTCCTAGTATGCCTGTGTCCCCCCCTCTAGTATACCTGTGTCCCCCCCCTCTAGGCCTGTGTCCTCCTCTAAGTATACCTGTGTCCCCTCCTCTAGTATGCCTGTGTCCCCCCTCTAGTATACCTGTTCCCCTCTAGTATACTGTGTCCCCTCCTCTAGTATACCTGTGTCCCCTCCTCTAGTATACCTGTGTCCCCCCCTCTAGTATACCTGTGTCCCCCCCTCTAGTATACCTGTGTCCCCCCTCTAGTATACCTGTGTCCCCTCTCTAGTATACCTGTGTCCCCCCTCTAGTATACTGTGTCACCCCCCTCTAGTATACCTGTGTCCCCCCCTCTAGTATACCTGTGTCACCTCCTCTAGTATACCTGTGTCCCCCCTCTAGTATACTGTCCCCCTCTGAGTATACCTGTGTCCCCCCTCTAGTATGCCTGTGTCCCCCCTCTGAGTATACCTGTGTCCTCCTCTGGTATGCCTGTGTCCCTCCTCTGTACCTGCACCCTCCTCTGGTATGCCTGTGTCCTCTCTAGTATGCCTTGTGTCCCCTCCTCCTGTATACCTGTGTCCTCCTCTAGTATACCTGTGTCCCCCTCTAGTATACCTGTGTCCTCTCTAGTATACCTGTGTCCCCCTCTAGTATACCTGTGTCCCCCCCTCTAGTATACTGGTGTCCCCCTCTAGTATACCTGTGTCCCCTCCTCTGGTATACCTGTGTGTCCCTCCTCTGAGTATACCTGTGTCCCCCCCTCTAGTATACCTGTGCCTCTAGATATACCTGTCCCCCCCTCTAGTATACCTGTGTCCCCCCTCTGTATGCCTGTGTCACCTCCTCTGGTATACCTGTGTCCCCCTCTGGTATGCCTGTGTCCCCCCTCTGGTATGCCTGTCCCCCTCTAGTATGCCAGTGTCCCCCTCTGGTATACTGTGTCCCTCCTCTGGTATGCCTGTGTCCCCCTCTGGTATACCTGTATCCCCCTCTAGTTACCTGTGTCCCCCTCCTAGTATACCTGTGTCCTCTCTAGTATACCTGTGTCCCCCTCTAGTATACCTGTGTCCCCTCCTGGTATACCTGTGTCCCCCCCTCTAGTATACCTGTGTCCCCCTCTGGTATACCAGTGTCCCCCCCTCTAGCATACCTGTGTCCCCCCCTCTAGTATACCTGTGTCACCTCCTCTGGTATACCTGTGTCCCCCCCTCTAGTATACCTGTCCCCCCTCTAGTATACCTGTGTCCCCCCCTCAGGCCCTCTGTGTCCTCCTCTGTATACCTGTGTCCCTCCTCTGAGTATGCCTGTCCCCCCTCTGGTGCCTGTGTCCCCCCTCTGGTATGCCTGTGTCCTCTCCTGGTATGCCTGTGTCCCCCCTCTGGTATGCCTGTGTCCTTCCTCTAGTATGCCTATGTCCCCCTCTGGTATGCCTGTGTCCTCCTCTGGTATACCTGTTCCCCTCTGGTATGCGTGTGTCCCCCCTCTAGTATACCTGTGTCCCCCCTCTAGTATACCAGTGTCCCCCTCTAGTATACTGTGTCACCTCCTCTAGTATACCTGTGTCCCTCCTCCAGTATACCTGTGTCCCCCCTCTAATTTATGCCTTCCTGTATACCTGTGTCCCCTCCTCTAGTATACCTGTGTCCCCCTCTCTGGTATACCCGTGTCCCCCTCTAGTATCCTGTGTCCTCCTCTGTTGCCTGTGTCCCCCCTCTAGTATACCTGTGTGCCTCTGGTATCCCTGTGTCCCCTCTGGTATGCCTGTGTCACCTCCTCTGGTATGCCTTGTCTCCTTCATTCCACACACTCCAGTATCCAGTGTCCCCCTCTGAGTATGCCTGTGTCCCTCCTCTGGTATGCCTGTCCCCTCTAGTATCCTGTGTCCCTCCTCTGTACCCTGTGTCCCCCTCTAGTACCTCCTATTCCTCCTCCTAGTATACCTGTTCCCCCCCTCTGGTATACCGTGTCCCCCCCTGGACCTGTCCCTCCTCTGAGTGCCTGTCCCTCACCTGTATACCTGTGTCCCCCCCCCCTGTATGCCTGTGTCCCCCCCTCTGTGTCAGTGTCCCCCCCCTCTGGTATGCCTGTGTCCCTCCTCTGGTATACTGTGTCCCCCCTCTGGTATGCTACACACTCTGGTATGCCTGTGTCCCCTCTGGTACCTCTCCTGGTACCTGTGTCCTCCTCTAGTATGCCTGTGTCCCCTCTCTGGTATACTGGTGTCCCCTCCTCTGAGCCATCTGTGTCCCCCCTCTAGTATACCTGTGTCCCCCCCTCTAGTACCCTTAGCAATACACCTCTAGTACCTGTTTCTCCTCTAGTATGCCTGTGTCCCCTCACTCTAGTATACTGTCCCCTCTAGTATACTGTGTCCCCCCACTCCCTACCTGGTCTCCTCTAGTATACCTGTGTCCCCTCTAGTATGCCTGTGTCCCCCCTCTAGTATACCTGTGTCCTCCTCTAGTATACCTGTGTCCCCTCCTCTGGTATACCTGTGTCCCCCCTAGTATACCTGTCCCTCTAGTATACCTGTGTCCCCTCCTCTGATATGCCTGTGTCACCTCTCTAGTATACCTGTGTCCCTCCTCTGTGTACCTGTATTTTACTCCTAGTATGCCAGTGTCCCCCCTCTGGTATGCCTGTCTTCCCCCTCTAGTATACCTGTGTCCCCCCTCTGAGATACCCCCTTTTGTCCCCCCTCTGGTATACTGTGTCCCCTCTAGTATGCCTGTGTCCCCCCTCTGTATGCCTGTGTCCCCCCTCTGGTATGCCGTGTCCCCCCTCTGGGCATACCTGTGTGCCCCTCTGGTATGCCTGTGCACTCCTCTGGTATACCTGTCCCCCTCTAGTATGCCCCTGTGTACACCTCGGTGCCTGTGTCCCCCCCCTCTGAGTATGCCTGTGTCCCCCTCTAGTATACCTGTGTCCCTCTAGTATACCTGTGTCCCCCCCTCCCTAGTATACCTGTGTCCCCTCCTCTAGTATACCTGTGTCCTCTCTAGTATACCTGTGTCCTCTAGTATGCCTGTGTCCCCTCTAGTATACCTGTGTCCCCTCCTCTAGTATGCCTGTGTCCCCTCCTCTAGTATACCAGTGTCCCTCCTCTATGCCAGTGTCCCCTCTCTGGTACATACCTGTGTCCCCTCTCTAGTATGTGTCCCTCCTTGCCTGTGTCCCTCTCTAGTATACTGTCCCCTCTAGGCCCTGCCTGTGTCCCCCCTCTAGTATCCTTGTCCCCCCCTCTAGTATACCTGTGTCCCCTCTGGTATGCCTGTGTCCCCCTCTGAGTATGCCTGTGTCCCCCCCTCTGAGTATGCCAGTGTCCCCTCTGGTAATGCCTGTGTCACCCTCTGGTATACCTGTGTCCTCCTCCTAGTATACCTGTGTCTCTGAGTATACCTGTGTCTCCCCTCTGTGTATCAATCGTCCTCTAGTATCCTGTGTCCTCCTCTAGTACCAGTGTCCTCCTCTAGTATGCCTGCCCCCTCTAGTATACCTGTGTCCCCCCTCTAGCATACCTGTGTCCCCCTCTAGTATACCTGTGTCCCCCCCTCCTCTAGTATACCAGTGTCCCCCCTCTAGTACCTGTGTCCACTCCACTCTAGTATACCTGTGTCCTCCTCTAGTATGCCTGTCCCCCCCTCTAGTATACCTGTGTCCCCCCCTCTGGTATACCTGTGTCCTCCTCTGGTATGCACACACTCTGTATGCCTGTGTCCCCTCCTCTGGTATGCAGCATCCCCTCTGGTATGCCTGTGTCCCCTCTAGTATGCCTTGTCCCCCTCTGGTATGCCTGTCCTCCTCCTGGTATGCCTGGTATTCACTCCTCTAGTATGCCTGTGTCCCTCCTCTGGTATACCTGTGTCCCCCCCTCTAGTATACTGTGTCCCTCCTCTAGTATACCCTGTGTTACCTAGTATACCTGTTTCCCCCTCTAGTATACCTGTGTCCCTCCTCTGGTATGCCTCTGTCCTCCTCTGGTGTACCTGTGTCCCCCCTCTGGTATGCCTGTGTTCCCCTCCTCTGGTGTGCCTAGCATCACTCCTGGTATGCCTGTGTCCCCCCCTCTGGTATGCCTGTGTCCCCCTCTGGTATGCCTGTGTCCCCCTCTGGTATGCCTGTGTCCCCTCCTCTGGTATGCAGTGTCCCCCCTCTGGTATGCCTGTGTCCCCCTCTGGTATGCCTGTGTCCTCCTCTGGTATGCCTGTGTCCTCCTCTCTGGTATGCCTGTGTCCATCTCGGTATGCCATTGATACACTCTGGTGGCCTGTGTCCTCCTCTGGTATGCCTGTGTCCTCCTCCTGGTATGCCTGTGTCCTCTAGTATGCCTGTGTCCCCCTCTGTATGCCTGTGTCACCACTCTGGTATGCCTGTGTCCCCTCCTCTGGTATGCCAGTGTCTCCCCTCCTAGTATGCCATGTGTCCCCCCTCTAGTATACCTGTGTCCCCCTCCTAGATACATGTCCTCCTCTAGTATACCAGTGCCCCCCTCTAGTATACTGTGTCCCCCCTCTAGTATACCTGTGTCACTCTCTAGTATACCTGTGTTCCCCCTCTAGTATACCCAGTGTCCCCCCTCTAGTATGCCAGTGTCCCCCTCTAGTATACCTGTGTCCCATCCTCTGGTATCCTGTCACCTCCTCTGGTAGCCTGTCCCCCCTCTGGTATACCTGTGTCCCCACTCTGGTATCACATGTCCCCCTCTGGTATCCTGTGTCCCCCTCTGGTATGCCTGTGATACCACCTGGTATGCCAGTGTCCCTCCTGGTATACTGTGTCCCTCTCTGGTATACCCAGTGTCCCCCTCCTCTGGTATACCTGTGTCCCTCTCTAGAGTGTCCCTCCTCTAGTATACCTGTATCCCCCTCTACCCTCTGTGTCCCCCTCTGGTATGCCTGTGTCACCTCCTCTAGTCATCCTGTGTCCCCCCTCTAGTATACCAGTGTCCCCCCCTCTGGTACCCAGTGTCCCCCCTCTAGTATACTGTGTCCCTCCTCTAGTATGCTTATTCTCCTCTGAGATACCTGTGTCCCCCCCTCCTGGTATACTGTGTCCCCCTCTGTATACCTGTGTCCCCCCTCTGGCTGCCCCCTCTAGTATGCCTGTGTCCCCCTCTAGTATACCAGTGTCCCCCCCTCTGGTATGCCTGTGCCCTCCTCTAGTATACCTGTGTCCCCCTCTGTATGCCTATACCCTCTGGTACCTGTGCCTCCCTGACCTGTCACACTGTGGCCTTGTGCACTCTAGTATCCTGTGTCCCCCCTCTGGTATGCCTGTGTCCCCTCTGGTATACCTGTGTCCCTCCTCTAGTATACCTGTGTCCCCTCCTCTAGTATACCTGTGTCCCCTCTAGTATACCTGTCTCCCCTCTGATATACCTGTGTCCCCTCCTCTAGTGCCTGTGTCCCTCTCTAGTATACCATTCCTCCTCTAGTATACCAGTGTCCCTCCTCTAGTATACCTGTGTCCCCCTCTAGTATACCTGTGTCCCCTCCTCTGGCACCTGTCCCTCTGTATACTGTGTCCCCCTCTAGTATACTGTGTCCCCCTCCTAGCTTCCTGTGTCCCCCTCTCTAGTATACCTGTGTCCCCTCATACTGTGTCCCCCTCTAGTATGCCTGTCCCCCATACCTGTGTCCCCTCTCTAGTATGCCTGTGTCCCCTCCTCTAGTATACCTGTGTCCCTCTCTGGTATGCCTGTGCACTCCTCTAGATGCCTGTGCTAGCATACCTGTGTCCCTCCCCTAGTATGCCTGTGTCCTCCTCCTAGTATACCTGTGCCCCCTCTAGTATACCTGTGTCCCTCCTCCTAGTATACCTGTGTCCCCCCCTCTAGTATACCTGTGTCCCCCCCTCTAGCACCTGTGTCACCCTCTAGTATACCCTGTCCCCCCCCAGTACACCCAGGTCCCCCCCCAGCATACCTGTCCCCCCAGCATACCTGGCACCTCCCTAGCATACCTGTGTCCCCCCAGCATACCAGTGTCCCCCCTCTAGCATACCTGTGTCCCCCCCAGTATACCAGTCCCCCCCTCTAATACCTGTCCTCTGCATACCTGTGTCCCCCCCAGTATACCTGTGTCCCCACCTCCCTCTAGTATACCTGTGTCCCTCCTCTCCAGACACCCAGGACCCCCCAGAGACACCTGTGTCCCCCTCTAGTATACCTGTGTCCCTCCTCCAGTGCATCCCTGTGTCCTCCCTCTAGCATACACCTGTCCTCTAGCATACCAGTGTCCCTCCCTCTACACACCAGGTCCCCCCCAGCATACCTGTGTCCCCCCAGACACCTGTCCCCCCCTCTATACCCAGGTCCCTCTAGTATACCTGTGTCCCCTCCCTCTAGCATACCTGTGTCCCCCCCAGCATACCTGTGTCCCCCAGATACACCTGTCCCTCTAGTATACCTGTGCCCTCCTCTAGTATACCTGTGTCCCCCTCTAGTATACCTGTCCTCCTCTAGCATACCTGTGTCCCTCCCTCTAGCACACCTGTGTCCCCTCCCCACACCCAGTCCCCCCAGCACACCTGTGTCCCTCCCCCAGCATACCAGTGTCCCCCCCAGCATACCTGTGTCCCCTCCTCCAGCATACCCAGGACCCTCCTCTAGCATACCCAGAAACCTCTAGCATACCAGTGTCTCCCCCAGCATACCTGTGTCCCCCCCCCAGCATACCTGTGTCCCCCTCTAGCATACCTGTGTCCCCCCTAGTATACCTGTGTCCCCCCTCTAGTATACCTGTGTCCCCCTCTAGTATACCAGTGTCCCCCCTCTAGTACACCCAGGTCCCTCCAGACACCAGGTCCCTCCCCAGCATACCCAGGTCCCCCCTCTAGACACCCCAGGTCCCCTCTCTAGGCATACCTGTGTCCCCTCCCCAGTACACCTGTGTCCCCCCCTCCAGCACACCTGTGTCCCCCCTCTAGCACACCCAGGCCCCCTCCTCTACATACCCGGTCCCCCTCCCCAGCATACCAGTGTCCCCCCCTCTGCATACCTGTGTCCCCTCCAGTATACCTGTGTCCCTCCTCTAGCATACCTGTGTCCCCCCCCTCCAGTATACCCAGCCCCCCCCAGCATACCTGTGTCCCCCTCTAGTATACCAGTGTCCCCCTCTAGTACACCCACACCCTCTAGCATACCCAGGTCCCCCCCTCTAGCACACCCAGTAACCCCCTCTAGTGGCACACCCAGTGTCCCCCCCCCTCTAGCATACCTGTGTCCCCCCTCTAGTATACCTGTGTCACCTCCCAGCATACATGTCCCCCCAGCATACCTGTGTCCCCCCAGCATACCTGTGTCCCTCCCCAGCATACCTGTGCCCTCCCAGCATACCTGTGTCCTCCCAGCATACCTGTGTCCCCCCTCTAGCATACCTGTGTCCCCCCTCTCCAGATACCAGCAACCTCTAGCATACCTGTGTCACCTCCTAGTATACCTGTGTCCCCTCCTCTAGCATACCCAGGTCCCCCCCCCAGACACCCAGGTCCCCCCCCAGTATACCCAGGTCCCTCCCTCTGCATACCTGTGTCCCTCCTCTAGATACCTGTGTCCCCCATACCAGTGTCCCCCCTCTAGCATACCCACCTCCCAGACACCTGTCCCCCCTCTAGCATACCTGTCCCCCCCTCCAGCATACCTGTGTCCCTCCCTCTAGCATACCTGTGTCCCTCCTCTGCACACCTGTGTCCCCCTCTAGCATACCTGTGTCCCCCCCCCAGACACCCAGGTCCCTCCCAGTATACCTGTGTCCCCCTCTAGTATACCTGTGTCTCCCAGACACCCAGGTCCCCCCCTCTAGTATACACCCAGGTCCCCTCCCTCTAGCACACCTGTGTCCCCCTCCAGTACACCCAGGTCCCCCTGCATACCTGTGTCCCCCCCCCAGCATACCCGTGTCCCCCAGCATACCCAGACCTCCCTCTGCACACCCCCTCTAGCATACCTGTGTCTCCTCTAGCATACCTGTGTCCCTCCCAGCATACCCGTGTCCCCCTCTAGCATACCTGTGTCCCCCCTCTATATACCTGTCCTCCCCTAGTATACCAGACCCCCCTCTAGAACCGTGTCCCCCCCTCTAGCATACCCAGGTCCCCCCTCTAGATAACCCAGGTCCCCTCCCCACACACCTGCCCCCAGCATACCCAGTCTCTAGTACACCAGCACCTCCCAACACACCTGTGTCCCCCAGCATACACCAGGCCCCCCCCCAGCATACCCAGGCCCCCTCTGCATACCACCCTCCCCAGCATCACCTGGTCCCCCCCCCCTCTAGCATACCACCTGTGTCCCCCAGCATACCTGTTCCCCCAGCATACCAGTGTCCCCCTCTAGCATACCTGTGTCCCTCCCTAGCATACCTGCGGTCCCCCCCTCCCCAGATACCTGTGTCCCCCTCTAGCATACACCTGTGTCCCTCCTCTAGCATACCCATGTCCTCCCCAGAACATACCTGTGTCCCCCCAGCATACCTGTGTCCCCCCCTCTAGTATACACCAGTGTCCCCCTCTCAGCATACACCCAGTCCTCCCCCCAGCATACCCAGTCCCCCCCAGCATACCTGTGTCCCCCTCCAGCATACCTGTGTCCCTCCTCTAGCATACCTGCCCTCCCCAGCATACCCAGTTCCCCCTGTAGACACCCAGCCCCCTCCAGCATACCTGTGTCCCCCTCTAGTCATACCAGTGTCCCCCTCTCAGACACCCAGGTCCCCTCCCCAGATACACCCAGGTCCCCCCCCAGCACACCCAGGTCCCCCCCCAGCACACCCAGTGTCCCCCCAGCATCCCAGTGTCCCCCTCTAGCATCCCAGGCACCTCCTCCAGCACATGTCCCCAGCATACCAGTGTCCCCCCCTAGTACCCAGCCACCTCTAGCATACCTGTGTCCTCCCAGTATACCTATGTCCCCCTCTAGCATACCTGTGTCCCCCTCTAGCACACCTGTGTCCCCCCAGTATCCTCTAGTATCCCAGGCCACCTCTAGTATACCTGTGTCCTCCTCTACACCTGTGTCCCCCTCTGGACACCCAGGTCCCCCTCTAAGATACCCAGTCCCCCCCAGAGCACCTGTGTCCCTCCTCCAGACACCCAGGTCCCCCCCCAGACATACCCAGGTCCCTCCCCAGAGCACTGTGTCCCCCTCTAGCATACTCTGTCCCCCCTAGTATACCCAGTCCTCTAGCATACCTGTGTCCCTCCCTCTAGCATACCTGTGTCCTCCTCCTCTACACCTGTGTCCTCTAGCATACCTGTGTCCCCAGAACTCCTCTAGTATACACCTGTCCCCCCAGCACTACCTGTGTCTCCCCTCTAGCATACCTGTGTCCCCCTCCAGTATACCCTGTGTCCCTCCTCTAGCATACCCAGGTCCTCCCCCAGATCACCCAGGACCCCCCTTAGCATACCTGTGTCCCTCCCCCACACCTGTGTCCCCCTCAGACACCTGTGTCCCCCTCTAGCATACCTGTGTCCCCTCTAGCATACCAGGTCACCCTCCAGTATACCTGTGTCCCTCCTCTAGCATACCTGTGCCCCCTCTAGTATACCTGTGCCCCCCAGCATACTCAGTCCCCCCCCAGCATACCAGTGTCCTCCCAGTATACCTGTGTCCCCCCTCTACATACCTGTCCCCAGCACACCCAGGTCCCCCCCAGACACCAGAACCCCCCCAGACACACCCAGCCCTCCCCAGCACCCAGGTCCCCCCCAGCACACCCAGTGTCCCCCCTCTAGCATACCTGTGTCCCTCCTCTAGCATACCTGTGTCCCCCCAGCATACCCAGGTCCCCCCCCAGCATACCTGTCCCTCTCCCCTCTAGCACACCTGTGTCCCTCCCCAGCACACCTGTGTCCCCCCTCTAGCATACCTGTGTCCCCCCAGTATCCACCAGTGTCCCTCCTCTAGTATACCTGTGTCCCCCCTCTAGCATACCTGTGTCCCCCCTCTAGTATACCTGTGTCCCCCCAGTATACCACCTGTGTCCCCTCCTCTAGTATACCAAACCTCCTCTAGAACCCCCCCCACACCCAGGTCCCTCCTCTAGACACCACAGTCCCTCCCCAGCATACCTGTGTCCCCGTCCCATCCCACTCCCACTGCACCCAGCACACTTGTCCCCCCCCACCCAGGCACACCTGTCCCCTCACCCAGAGTCCTCCCCAGCATACTTGTCCCCCCCAGCATACTGTCCCCCCCTCACCTAGTATATGTGTCCCCCTCTAGCATACCTGTCCCTCCTCTGCACACCTGTGTCCCCCAGCATACCTGTCCCCCCTCTGCATACCTGTGTCCCCCCCAGACACCAGTGTCCCCCCTCTAGTATACCTGTGTCCCCCTCTAGTATACCTGTGTCCTCCCTCTAGTATACCAGTGTCCCCCCCCAGCACACCTGTGTCCCCCTCCCCCAGCACACCCAGGTCCCCCCCAGACACCCAGGTCCCCCCTCCAGCACACCCAGGTCCCCCCCAGTACACCCAGGTCCCCCCCCAGCATACCTGTGTCCTCCCCAGATACCGAGCCCCCAGCATACCCAGCCCCAGCATACACCAGTGTCCCCCCCAGCATACCCAGGTCCTCCCCAGATACCTGTGTCCCCCCCAGGCATACCCTGTGTCCTCCCCCAGTATACCTGTGTCCCTCCCCCAGTATACCTGTGTCCTCCCTCTAGTATACCCTGTGTCCCCTCTGCATACCTGTCCCTCCTCTAGCACCTGTGTCCCCCCTCTAGACACCCAGGTCCCCCCCA